CCCCAGGTGTGCCCAGGTGTGCTCACCTGTCCCCCCGTGCCCAGGTGTCCATGCTGGCTGTGGACGAGCTGTACGGGGAGGTTCCGGAGCTGGAGCGGGATCGTTATTGGGGGACCCCCGCCCCCCGCGCCCCCTACACGGCGGCGGCCGCGCCCCCCCGGCACCCCGCCTTCCGCGGCTCCGCCTTCGACGTCACGTGAGCGCCCCCCAAAATCCCGGGCACCCCCAAAATCCCAGGGACCCCCACCCTGGGACCCCCAAAATCCCGGGCACCCCCAAAATCCCGGGGACCCCCAAAAACCCGGGGACCCCCAAACTCCACCCTGGGACCCCCAAACTCCACCTTGGGACCCCCAAACTCCACCTTGGGACCCCCAAACCCCCACCCTGGGACCCCCACCCTGGGACCCCCAAATCCCCACCCTGGGACCCCCAAACTCCTCCCTGGGATCCCCAAACTCCACCCTGAGACCCCCAAATCCCCACCCTGGGACCCCCAAACTCCTCCCTGGGATCCCCAAACTCCACCCTGAGACCCCCAAATCCCCACCCTGGGACCCCCAAACTCCTCCCTGGGATCCCCAAACTCCACCCTGAGACCCCCAAATCCCCACCCTGGGACCCCAAACTCCACCCTGAGACCCCCAAACTCCTCCCTGAGACCCCCAAATCCCCACCTTGGGACCCCAAACTCCTCCCTGGGACCCCCAAACTCCTCCCTGGGACCCCAAACTCCACCCTGAGACCCCCAAACTCCACCCTGGGACTCCCAAATCCCCACCCTGGGACCCTCAAACTCCACCCTGGGACCCCCAAACTCCACCCAGCGACCCCCAAACCTTCCGAGCCCCCCCGAGTTGATTTTGGGGGTCTCTGGGGTGGGGGTTGGGAGGATTTTGGGGTGACCCCTCCCCTCCCCCGCAGCCTGGCCAAGGAGGAGATGCAATTCCAACCCCTGGAGGAAATCGGGGACCCCCTCGGGGAAATCGGGGACCCCCTGGACCCCTCCCCACGGGTCCCCCGCCCGTCCCGGCTCCGCCGCAAGAGCAGCTCCGAGGGGGGGGCGCCCCCCGAGACCCCCCCGGGGGATGGGGACCCCCAGGAGCGGTGGCTGCTGCACCCCAGCGCCGAGCAGGGGGTCTGAGGGGGCACCCCCAAAATAAAAAACCACCCCGAGCCCCCCCTCCCCAAAATAAACACCCCCCAAAATCCTCGGGATTTACCGGGAAATCGGCGGAAGCCGAAATTTGGGGAGTCCCGGGAGGGGTGGGGGGGGGGATTCGGCACGGGAAGGGAACCCCAAAAATCTCCGGGGGGGGGCGTGGAGAGAGCCCGGAATTCCAGAGCCGAAATTCCGGACCCGGAATTCCACACCCGGAATTCCACATCTGGAATTCCACACCCGAAATTCCACAGCCGGAATTCCACACCCGAAATTCCACACTCGGAATTCCACATCTGGAATTCCACACCCGAAATTCCACAGCCGGAATTCCACACCCGAAATTCCACACTCGGAAT